ATCACAGAATAAGGTAGCTCATTTAAAACAGTTTCCTCATGGTTGTCCTGTTCTCCCATTCAGGAAAAAGATTATTGGTTACCATGGCAACCAGCTTCCACAGCATTCCATTCTAAGCAACCACACAGGTATAGCAGGAGCTTTTACTCAACGTTCTTTACTGTCACTCTCTGCAGATCTGCATATTTTTCCAGCCTGTTCTTTGTAACTGCTGTTTCCGACAATCAAGCTGAAGTTAAGCCAGATAATTTTTTCAAAGGCACTGCATCCCTATCTATTCTAAATATTTTAAAAATTCACATATATGGTTGTACAATGATTTTCTCACAGCACCAACCAAAAACTTTCTGGTATGTTCTTTAATAAGTCTGGGGTTATATTTGCATCTCTTTTATCATATTTTGAAAACAAATAATGAGTTTACAGTAAAAATCAGAGCAAAAGATAATTTTATGAGATTATCTCCCATGTGTTCTCTATCATATCTTTCTCAAGGATAATTCTCTGACTTCCTTCCCTCCACCATTCTCAAACCCTCTGATAAAATAGTGCACAAACCCAGAAGAGTAAAAATTGTCCTCCATTCATCACTTTGGAGATGCCAAACACTTATACACTTATACCCCTGAGACCATTAACTACCCTGTTTTTGCTCAGAACATTATTAAAAATAATAAAATATGGTTTTAAACAGGCCAAGCACATTTTACTGCCACCCAATATCTGTTTTATTGTGGAGGAGGTGGGATGACTTTGGAGAATCAACTGGATAAATTCTGTTTCCCTACAACTCTTTCATTCTTTTTGTTATTATTACTTCTAGTCTTTGCTAGTTATTTAGTTTCTTCATAACTACATGGCATAAACTAGGAATCTTGAGATTTCTATTGTATGCTGAGATATCGTTTAATCTATTATTTCTACCTATGATTTTATTTGAAGCAATAGTGGTATTTTGATAATTAAAAAGAGGCAACTTAAAAGGGAGTTGCTATTACCTAATGTTAAGCAATTAAAAATAAAATCTGGCTTTAACCCTCTTTCTTGAAAAGTCTTTCAATCTCCTCAATGTCTTTTCAATGAAAAAGACATATCTCGTGATCAATCTATGAACACCCCATTGAATATTGCCATCTCCTATTAAGGGCATGGAAGTAAACTCTGTAACTAAAACAGATGCCTTCGCCCACAGGTTCTAAAATCAGAGGGTATTCATAAACCTCTCCACAAATTTTCAGAGTGTAGTGGGAAACAGGAACTGTTAAAAATTTGAAACTCTACTAAAGTACTTTCTACCTCTTCTGGGAAAAGAAAATGTATTACTTTCTAGGAAGCTCACTACTTTAAAAACATACGATCAGGGTTGGAAATTCATGGTTAGCACTTGGGTTACATCACTCAGTTTTAGATGATATTTACTTTTAGATGGAAAGCCATAGAATGGTTCTCTGACTCTTCTCAAAACTGTGTTGGAATTGTTTCAAGAGAGCGGAAAAAGCACTTACTTTATAATTATTATTTTCTGAGCAGATATTCCATGATACATAAAATGTTTTACTTCTTCCTTTGGGTACACAGACATATGTATTCCCTGATATACTAATCCCATGCCAGCTAGAAAGAAAAATTGACCAACTATTGGTAGACTTTTCTAGGTTGAGAGCAGAGGCCGACATTGAATCATCACAAAAACTTTGGGTAATTACATCATGATGCACAATTAGATTTACATAGAAAAAAAGCTGCTCTCAATTTCAAGTCAACAAAAGAAGAGACCGTGTAGCTTTGAAAAGTAGAATCTCTAATGAAGGGTCAGCATTCTAAAAGCAGGGAGGCTGCTGACATGCTGTTTTGACAGTTGGGTAAAGATGTGGGGGGGATAAGATTATAAACCAGAGGAAGTCCTGTTAAAAGGATAGAATGAAGTGTTTGAAAATGGTAAAGTGAGAGCTTTAATCAACATGGACGAATGGCAAGAGCAGGAAAGAGAAAAGTGATTTAATTCAGATAGTAAATAGTTTTTGGAGAAATTTTATAGAGTAGTAACTTAGTTTGTATTTTAATTTGCAAGAGCCAAGGGACATTATTTGAAGAATGACAGTTTTATTGTTTTAATATTTTATACATAAGAAGTTCCCATTTATCTGAAATATAAGTTAGTACCAGTTTCTATTAATGTGATAATATATATTAGACAAATTGGCAAGCAGGGGTTTGCTTTATTAATCTTTGTTATATCTTAAAAAAACGATTTTCAATATTTTATTTTTAAAGATTTTACTTATTTCACAGAGAGAGACAGCAAGAGAGGGAACAAAAGCAGGGGGAGTGGGAGAGGGAGAGGCAGGCTTCTGGCAGAGCAGGGAGCCTGATGTGGGGCTTGATCCAGGGACCCTGGGATCATGACCTGAGCCGAAGGCAGACGCTTAACCACTGAGCCACCCAGGCACCCCGATTTTCAATATTTCAAATTATAAACAAGATCATGATTTTATAATATGAAGATAAGCAGAAAGTCTGATTTAGTTGCAAACTGGTCCTAACTTTTTTGGCTCATGTCCTTTAACACTGGGCAAAAACCTGGAAAACCAATCTCCTTAATGAGGAATCTTGCGAGTAGTGTAACATTAAAAATTTTTTTAAAAATACATGATATAAATTCCGTAGAGCTTTAGCTTCTTGTATTTAAAACAAATGCATTGATATCCATTTACAGCTCTCCTCTACCAATCACTTTAAAGGTTGGTAATCGTGTGTCCTGGATTTTCCAGGTCACTTCGGATTTCAAATATTTTTTCTGTTGTCAAATGATGTGTACAGATTTTAGTTCGGAAAATGTGGTCACTGGATTTATAGACCAACTCTGAAATAGCAATGGCCTTTGGCATGTAGTAATTCTATTTCTGGGTCATGATTATCAAATTAAACTAAAAGTTCATCATTGAGACTACCCAATGATAAGCTATCAAAACAATAAGGACATTTAAAAACTTTGTAGTAATTGCAATTTGAAAAGCATTCATAATATGATTTATTAACACACATAACTAGTAAATCTATACATGTCTACTCACCCTTGTCATATAGGAAATAAAAAACAAGCCATATTGTAATTACATGCTGTAATTATATGTATTAATATATGTATTACATGGCTAGAACTGAAGAATACAAAAATAATCTAAATGAACTTGTGTTAATAGTTAAAAAATTTTTGGTGGTCTTCCTTATTTTTAATTTCCATAGAATGGACCTCATATTCTTGATAAACTGGAACTGAAAGCGTATACTGGCATCTGCTATAAATATGACAATAATTATGAGTGAACTTTTAAAGTTAAGATTGTCTCACTATCATATGCCAAAACTTTGCTTTTCTGCAAATGAAAATATTTAGATTTGATGGCCTTCCTTTCTCCAACCTCAATTACTATCTTTTATAACCTTGTACCGCTTGTTCATAGTTCGCTCTTTATTCTTTCGTGATTTGGGTAACCACTAAGTGAAGAAAAAAAAGTTTTAAAGTCTACTATGTCCAGTATGGCACTTAATAACTCTTTCAAAAATTAAGATGATTTTTCCCAAGTCTTGTTGGAAATGTATCTATCACCAGTGATCAGGCTCTCCTACATTTCCGTGCTAGTTGAAACTTGAGAAGCCCGGGGACGCTGCTGCAAGAGAGGCGGGAGTGGGAGATAGGTTATCACCCGCTTGACACTTGGGCACTATTGCTACGAATGATTCACTTGTGTTTGGCACATTTGTTGCAGGGAAATCTCCCGTCGCTTCCTTCTCGGGAGCTCCTCTCTGGCTGTCTCCTGTGCTTTGGCCTTTAAGGAGAACCGAGAGCAGGTGGGCACAGAGGCGCTCACCGAGTCCTCCTCCCCCTGCTTCTTCCCTAATTTAGCAGTACTTCCGGCCGCGTGACATCATCCCCCGCACCCCGGTGACGAGAGCTGCGGGTGACGTGTGTGCGGAAAGGAGCGCGCTGACGTTGCTATTTAAAGGTCCTCCTGCGGGGAGGATGGAGACACAGCGCGAGCACCTGGTGTGGGGCGCGGAGGAGGCTGTGGCGGCCGGGAGCGGGGCCGGGAGACAGCGGAGGAGCAGAGCGCACGGTCCGCCCGCCGCCGGCCACTAGGGGAGGTGGGAGGGGGGGAAGGAAGGAAAGACGGACTGACGGACCTGCCGGCTGGACTAGCTCCCCACGAGGGCCGGCTCGGCCCCTGACCACCAGCCTTCCCGCCGCCCTCGCAGCTGCTGCTTTCTTTCCCATCGCCCGCAGGGCCCCACCGGGCCCTTGGAACGGGTCAGCGCCCCAACCCCCGGCGCCTACTCGCTGCTCAGCTGCAGCGGCGGCGGTGGCCGCCTCCTGCCCCCTCCCACGAGCGCGGGGGAGGGACCGCTCTCGCCCCCGGCTCTCCCCGCCTCCTCCCCCGCCCTCCGCAGTCCGCTTTGCCGCCGCGCTCGGCTCACGCGGGCGGCGCTGACCCGGGAAGCAGCGCCCTCCACTCCGCGAGCGGCCGGTGGAGGCGGAGGCAGCGGCGGGCTTCAGGCCACCCGGGCCGGCGCTGCTCTGCGGAGCTAGAGCTGGAGGCCGGCGGAGGTGGGCGGTGATGGAAGTGTGAGGAGGCGGCGGCGGGCCCGGGGACTGTGAGGCGGCGCGTGGCGGCGGCGAGGAGTGCGAGAGGCGAGGAGCGCGGGTGGGGGCGCTGGAGCAGCGGCTCTCCCGCTGCTTCGAGCCCCGCTCCCCGGCCCCCGACGCGGGATTAGCCGCCCGCCTCCGGTTGACCCTTCAGCTCAGTCCAACGCCGCCGCTCGGCCCGCCCTGGCGCTGGGAGCGGGTGCCGGGGACAGCGTGGGGCTTGGCTCTCTGATTCATTCATTCTCCGCCGCCGGCAGCCTCAGACCCGCGGTTCTCCGAAGAGAGGAGGGAAGAGGGGCAGCCGCGAATGAAGGGCCGGGCGCGAGCCGGGCTCCATTGTGCTCGGCGGCGCGGGGCGGGAAGGGGCTGAGGGAGGTGGGATCGGGCCCCCTCCCCCTGCTCGCCAGCGTGCGCTGCGCCCCCAGCCTGCTGCCAGCCTGGAAATGGCTCCGTTTATTCTCCCCGGGAGAATGAATCGATCCTGCCCAGCCTTCTCTTCCTCCTCCCCACCTCCTCTCTGCTCCGAGTCTTAGGAGGGGAAGCATTTAAAAAGACAGATTCCAATGTGGAGTGCCGTGCACATCGCGAGCTGCTGGGTTTGCACCTCGAGGAGATTTTTCTATATAGCTTTTTCTAACGTGAGCGCAGGGAAGCAGTGGCATTACTGCTTTTAGGATTTTTATTTTCTCGTAGGGATCTCTATAAAGTGCACGTCGCATTGGGTTACACGCTCCACCCCCAAGGGAACTGGTGTGGTGGAGAAATTTGAACCCGCAGCCTTAGTAGCACCAAAAGGCCGAGTTACCTGGCTTTCCCAGAGTGTCGAGGAGGACATGAGCGAAATGACCACCGAACTCATTTTTTATAGGACTCGGTGAAGCTGGATTCTGCGTTTTCCGACAGACACGTAGACTCATTTCGTGGAATAGAGTTGACTGCTGTCAGCATTTTAACTCTAATTTAAAGCAAATGCCACCTCGGTTTGAACGTTTTGGTATCTACGAGAGAAATCATTTTACGTAAGGGAACTAATTGAATTGTCAGCACCACTGAAATACCTCCAGAAAAGGATCTCGGGGGGTGGAAAAGCAACTGCGAAATAACAGACGGAGAAATTCCTTTGGAAGTTATTCTGTAGCAGAAGAACAGAAACTTCAGAGCAAGTTTTCTTTGGGCAAAATGGGGTAAGGATTTATGTGCCTAACATAGCTTTGAATCTGTTTATGTATGTGTGTTGAGCGGTGGTGGTGATTGTGTTTTATGTTTTCAAACATATTAGCTACTTTGCTAAGCTGGTCGTACGTTAAAAATGTAGCTGTGTTAACCTTTTAACAAGTTATTTTTATAGAGTGACACCAGAGGTCATAATTAAGGAACATCCATAATTTGTAACCAGACTATAGTTTTATTAGTAATATTTAAGTAGGCAACACATTCTGTACTTTTCTGGTCAGGCTGCTGCAGCAGTTTGTAATTAAAATCATATTGTCTTAGGTTTTGTTGCCGATGTCTTTTGAGAGAGAAGTACTGCGTTCTCTCAGTACTTTGAGAATAATCACACAAGGGAACAGTTGTAAGGTAATGAGTGGTTGGACTTCAGTCCATGAAAATGATCCAGTGTAAATTGTGGCCTCCAGTGTGCCCTCTGTTTTGCCCTTGACTACCCCAAGGTAACATGCAGAATTGATTTATTGGGGCATTAACACGAAACTCTGAAATTCTTACTGATGTGGTCTTCCCAGTGCCAGTGCACTTGGTGAATCAGAGCTTGAATAGGAAAAGGGTAATTTTCTGTTGAAGGAACTTGCACTTTTTCTCCATTTTTGCTCGTAAGCTCAGGTCTTCGGTTTGTGTTAATAGTGTCAAATCTACACCTTTCAGTACCAAAGTCAGCCAAGAGTGTGTTTTCCAACCTTTCATTAATTCTTCACACAGTAACTTGATAAAATGCTAGTGACTCTTTGTAATGTAAGCCAGAAACTCCTAATGTGGTATTAATGGGGTAATGATGTAGTCATTTCATTGACAGATTGTCCATACTTTTTGTCAGAGGAACTTCCAGAATTTTCTCTCTCTCTTTGTGGTTGAACAAACAAATCTAAAGTGTAATTAAGGGACAGGGATTGAAAGGATAGACCACAATTTATTGTGACAGTTTAGGGGGATGCATACCTCAACTTTCTTTTTTGAAACTCTCAGGAAAGTTCTTGGACAAGTATTACCTTTTTTTGTTGGAGTTAGAATTTGAAGTTTATTAACATGAAAAAGTTTGAAAATGTACTAACGAGAAAGTGATCATTGTTTTTAAAATTTAAATGGCAAGTGGTGAGAATATATATAACTTGCATGATTTGGGGTACTGCTAAGCAATTAAAATACCTTATTCTTAATGTTGCTGCTATTTGTAGCTTGGTGATCTGAGGCAAATTATTTAACCTCTATGGACTCTCTATTATCTAAAATGAAGGAATTAGATAAGCTTTAACATTTTTTCCATTCTGTAAAATTGAAATACTTTTTTCCTTCCTTTCTATTTTAATGATTACTAGTTGGTTTCTTAAAGTAGATCTTTTGGATGCAGAGATTGTTTTCTTTAGCACATCAGCTGGAAAGCAATGGCATTTAAAAATGTTTTGGATGAATTGCACCAATTTTAATAAGGGAAAATACGGAAAGTACTGCTATTTAAAACCTTTGAAATATGGCTTCCCTTGAGAATCTGCAGCTCTTCTGTTTAAAACATGTCAGCAAAAAAAAAAACAAGTGGCAATTTTTCATGTTGAAGGCTGCATTCTCTCTAGACTGTAGATTGGTAGCATCATGGAAGAAAATTGGTTTTCCACAGTCTTTAAGCTGCATGAATGCTCATCATTTTACCAAGGAAAGTTTGGAATGAACTTGCTACCAAGGGGGCTGGTATTTAAAATAGGAAAATAAGCCCCCACACATAGCACATATTACTGATACTTCAGTATAATTAAATTTATTTACAAACTCATGTATTTGGTTTTTTGCTAATAAAGTTTAGAAGTAGATTAGAGCAGAAAAAGTGTTTCTGCATTAGTTTTCTGGAAGTGTGTGTTTAGGGCTATGGTTCTTGTTCACTGATAGTGATTTGTTTCATCTGAGTTGTCAAGAGAAGCTGAATGGGTGGAAATAGGAGATAAGAGCGTAGAGAAGGCATTTGTGGAAGTTTTCATACTCAGTAGGTGTTTATACCTAATAAGTGTTTGTGGAATAAGTGCCTCCTGTACCTAATTGAACCAAAAGAAAATGGTGTGTGGTTTGTTTTTTTTTAAGATTTTATTTATTTGAGGGAGGGAGAGAGAGCATGTGCACACGAGCCTGTGCATGAGCAGGAGGGGAGGGGCAGAGGGACAGGGAAAAGCAGGCACTCCGCTGAGCAGAAAGCCCAATGCAGGGCTCAAACCTAGGGCCCCGAGATCATGACCTGAGCTGAAGGCAGATGCCCAACCAACTGAGCCACCCGGGTGCCCCAAAAGGAAATGGTATTTTAAGTGGCTTTTAAAGTTTTATCCAGGCAATCTTAAATTACCTTACTTTAACAGGTATATAAAATTTAATATTGTGAGTGAAGAGTTTCACATTTTTTAATATATTTTCGACTGTTAAGTTATAATAAGAATTTTTCTTTGCCTTAACTATGGATATAATTGCAGATCTAGGGGCAAAGTTTAAGCAAAAGGAATTCTTTACCTTTTTTTTTTGAGAGCGAGTCCGCAGGCCTGAGTGGGGGAGGGGCAGAGGGAGAGGGACAGACTCTCAGGCAGACTCCCTGCTGAGCGGGGAGCCAGACACAGTGCTGGATCCCAGGACCCTGAGATCGTGACCTGAGCCGAAATCAAGAGTTGGATGTTCAACTGACTGAGCCACCCAGGAGCCCCTAGGAATTATTTTTCTTCTTAAAGAAAATGGGTGGTGAGTTTAGGCAGAAAACCAACCTGGCTCCTCTAATAGTAGTTGATGAACCATTGTGTAAATGGAAAAGAACAGCTGAAACTGACAGTTGGCAGAGTCTGTCAAACTATCTTGGATGCTGCCTGAACTGTTTTTAATTACAGGGAAGGCAGTTGAAGTGTTGGCTTGTGAAATAGGTGAATCAGACCCCCTAAAAATGAGAGCATTCATGTATGTGAGATAAAGTCTAAAAAGTTGCACAGCCCCAGTGAGGAGAGCCTATTAGGTACAACCCCCAGTCCTCCCAAGTAGTAGCTCATAATGAGAGCTGTGAGTCAGGAGCTATTTCAGAGCCATTAGAGTAGGCAATAGAAATCAAGTAACTTCAGCGAGTTACTTCATGCTACCTTTTGTTTTGCATAGCTCCTGTTGACATTTTAGTGCCATCCACAGGGAATAGAGAACCGTCCCCTCCTCCCCTGACACCCTATTGAAAGTTATTTATAAAATGTGATTCTCTATGCTAATAAGGTCTATCAGTGCTCTTCTGATTTATCTCACCTGCCTGTGGAAACCTCTGGAAACCCTTTTCTCTGCCTTTCCCCTGATAACTTCCTGAAGCATGGGAGTGGGTGGTGCTGCTGCATTGCAACCTGACCCGAGTGCTTTCTTTGCTGAGGGAGGAAGCTGACACCTCTTTCTCCCTCAGGCTACTGGGGGCTGAGGCAAAAATGTGTAAATCTTGATCCAGCACTGGCATATGAATGGCCTTTGTTGAAGAGGCAACCACTCAATCATTTCTAACATCAGAGAAGTTCGATGCAAGTCCTAATTCTTTGTTCATTTTACTCATTTTGAACCCCTTTCATGTGGCGTGTTCAGCAGCTCAGTGCTCCTGATACAGAGACTCGTAAAATGTGCTCCTTCCCTTGGAGAGTTTCCTTCCCTCAGAGAGTTTATAGTTTAGAAGCTGGGAAGACAGGCCTGAAATTAGAAAGTACAGTGAAATGTCTAAGGGGCTACATAGAAATACAAAGTATGTGTAGCATTAGCTCCTGAGGGAAGGATGAAAAAGCTTTTGGGGAGGAGGTAATAGGTATTAAAGGAAAGACGAGAGCAGGTGGGCCTTGTAGACAAAAGAGAGGGCATTCAAGGCAGAGGGTACGGTGTGATTGACAGCACTGAGACTAGAACTGCAACAAAGTTGGGCTTGACAAACTTGGCTCTTTGGGCTGTGGTAAGAGAGAGACCTAGAGCCTTATGCAGGGGCCAGGTTAGAAGGCCTGTAGACCAAACAAAAGCTGGTGTATTTAAAACTTTTTTTGGCAGTGACCCATTACAGTAGGATACACATTTTTACCTCACAACCTAGTGCACCCATAAATAAATAAATGTCACAAAACAATACCTTTGTGTGATGCGTTGTAGTATTTTCTATTTTTAAAAAAGAATGACATTTGAGACCAGTAAGTTGATTAACCAACCAAGTGCTAACAACTGGTAATTTGAAAAACACTGCTCTTGGCTGTGGGAGTCACTAAAAGGTTTAAAGCAGAGTAGTTACATGAAGGGTCAGGGAAGTAGGATGAAAAAATAGTTTTAAAAATCATTGAGAATTTGGTTTTGTATGTTGTGTCCGGTGGAAACACGGAGCTGGAGCAGTGAACCGTAGTAGCTAGGCAGGGGAAATGGATAGCTGAACAGGGCCTAGAAATTCCAGGGTGGAGGGAAAGGAGGGATGTTGGTGAGTTGTGTGTAATTGTCCGAGTGAGACTTTTTCAGGATTAGGACATTTCATGTGCAGGGGTAAAAATGTAGGAAATGGCATCATATGTTCCTAGTTGAGCTGGTCATTTGGATGGGCCATGAAATAGTCAATGTGAGAGTTTAAAAAGGACTTTCTAGCTAGCATACAAATTGCATGGAAAGTAGGAGAACTCATTACCCCAAGCAAGTAATTAAAGGATATTTGGAGTTGCTGGTAAGATTTGCCTCGTAAGCTGAAAAGTTACTTCACCTGTGACTAAGATAGAATTATAATTTTAAATCTATCAATATAAATTAGGATATCAACCATAAAATTAGAAGGGTTTGCATATTTTGAGAAGAGGTGCTTCCCCCCAGTTTCTTAAAATATAATTGACATATAACATTGTATTAATTTAAGGAGCACAATGTAAAGATTCAACACATATGTCCTCTGACATGATGACCAAAGTAGGTGTATTAACATCCATCATCTCACATAGATTTTTGTTTCTTGTGA